GAGAGTCTGGACCCTGGCTGGCTTCAGGATGTGGAGTCCCCTACAGCTGTTACACAGTCTTGGTCTGTATTATGATCAGCCAGGCCTAGCAGGGCCTGGTCCGTGGAGCCGGGCAGCAGTGGCTGGAGCTGCCACAGAGATAAGAGACGTCTTTCCTGGTGTTAAGCCAGGCCACTCCCTGGCCAATTCATGCCCTTTCCCATGATGGCATTTGAGCCTGCTTAGATGGCGGCGCTTTGTTCCTTTCCATCCTGCTGAAGCTGGCGTCTGCTGTTCTCTACACGTGGCCACCCAGACCCTGAATGAGGGCCAGCCTGCTGTGACGAGCCTTGTGATCTCTTTGGGACCTCAGCTACCCCAACCCTAAAATGGAGAGGGAGGTCAAAATATGACATTCCCACCCAGAGGCCTAAAGGGTCACGATGAGGTCCAGGTGAGGACAGAGACTGTCTCGTTTCCCGCTGAGCTCAGAGCAAATGCGCAAAGATGTGGCTGAGGAAATGCTAGACTTCCGGTCCCCTCCAAACGCCCCGCGTGAGCTCCCTGCCTCTGCACACACAGATCATCTCCTGGAGAGTCAGAGAGAGACAAGAAAGCAGCTAATGAACCATTGGCTCTTTATTTACAGCTCACGGGAGCACATGCAACACGTCATCACGGGACTACAAGGGCCTGACACCTCCCCCCCTCCCCCTGCTGCCCCCACACTTTAAAGAGGAACCACAGCACCCCAGGGAAGTTCCCAAGAGTCAGAAAACCCAATGACTGAGGGCTCCAGGCCCAGGTGCTCCGCTTGATTTCCTCTGAAAATAGACCAGTTCCAGCCCTGCCAGGGCCTCAGAGCCTGGGGGTTTGTCCACCGCTGGTTATTAACTAGGCAAACCAGATCTCAGATCTGCCAACTCACACACCCAAATGCAAAGGCTCTGAATTAGCTAAAAGTCCCAGACCATCCAACTTTTCTGTTTCCCCCTATACATCCTAGACACGTGTCTCTCAAACTCAATCGTGCACAAGAACAGCCTGGGTCTTGTTAAAATCCAGACAGCCGTGCCCCCCTGCCACAAATTTTGGTTCAGCGGACCTGGGGTGGGCTCGGGATCCCACACTTCTATCAAGCTTCCAGGTGACGCCATGCTGCTGGTCCAGGACCACATGGTGAGTAAGGAGGGACTAGGGAGCCTCTTGCACCCAGAAGAGGCCGAGGATCCTATATCAGATGACCTGTCCTGACTTAGGATTCAGAAAACACATTCCCTGCAATGAAAGTCCCTGGTTTTGCAAACCAGTTCCTGCTGCCCCCTAACCCCCTCCCCCACGCTCCTCACTGTCTCCCATGAGAGGAAAGGTCATCGTGGAGGTGATGGTGCCAGTGCCGTGAAATCCCCAGTAAGGAGCCTAAGTGGTTTGCTTTCTGGCTCCTCCCAGTGTCCCTTCCAGCGCCCACTTTCCTTGCTGTTCTGTTGTCTTACAGAGATGTCTTTGTAGGTTCCGTGTATGTTCACTGACTCTCCTGCTGCAAAGCGGGTCCATTTCCAAGGAGCTGTGGGCCCACCATCTCAACACTAGATTTTACTGGGTGTGTTGAATATGGCTTAGAGTAAGGATCCGTCTGGGGGGAGGAAGGGGTTGTGGCTTTGGATTTGACTTGTGGTTCCTGTCATTCCTCAAGGGGCAACTGAAGCCGTCACGTTCCCTATGAGGTTCGGCCCTCACGTCCTCTGACCCTCAGCCCATTCCCAGCAGGCTGGGGAGCCACTCTTGGCATCGTTGGACAAATCCCAGAAAGGAGTCACGTGGGAAACGTGGGCACCTCTGGGGAATGGCGTAAGACTCCGAAGAAGGAATGCAGAAGGGCACAAGCCACCCAACAAGCAGCTATTGGTTTCCACTTGACCTCCTGCTCCGCTCTCCCTCTGGTTGTATTTAAATTGATGAACCTGTATTGCAATGCCACTTAACACCTCTTCCAGCTCAGCCTCAGTGCAGGAATCTGTACATGGCTGCCTCTGGCTGAGTCCAGAATAGGTTTCCAAACTTCTTTGACCACAGAACCCTGCCCTCTCTTTTCTAAAGGAGCATCTCCTGGCCCCAGTGTTCCAGGGGAAGGAGCCTGAACGGTGACTTTGAAATGATCCTTGAGTATATGATGGATCATCGTCAAAGAACAGAACGCCTACTAATACTATCCTAGGAAACAAATTAGCCCACACTGGGGGCTTATTATGTGCCTGGCACTATTCTAAACATGCTCTAAGGATTTTACGTTTACTTCTGGCAACAACTCTGTGAAGGGAGAGTCATTAACTCAGTTTACAGATGAGGAAATCAAGGCACAAGTAACTTTCCTAAGGTCGCCAAGGTGGTAAGAGGTGGAGCGGGCTGTTTGCTACCAGCTGCACTCCCACAGTCAAGAGGACAAGGGCAGAGTTCAGGCCCGGTTGTACATTAGAGTTGCCTGGGGGAGCCTTGGACACAAACGAAGCCCAGACGCAACCCAGATCAATGAAACCAGCACTGGTGCCACTCTGCCGGTGGGCCGGGGCATCAGTACCTTGGAAAGCTCCCCATATTCTTCTAACATGAAGCCAAGTTTGAGACCAGTGACTGTAGCAGGAACCTGTAAACTAGCGCCCGTGGGCCAAATCCAACCCACCACCTGCTTTGGGATAATCTGCCAGTTAAGAGAGGTTTTTACATTCATAAATGGGTTTTAGAAGATCAAATGAAGGCTAATAGCTTGTGACATGTGAAAATTATATGAAATTCAAACCTCAGTGTCCACAAATTGTTTTATTGGAACACAGCCTAAAATATTTAAGTGCCCTTTATGGTAAAAAGTTTGCTGAATCCTGGATTAGGGAGAATTGACTTCTGTACCAGCGAAAGAAATGTAAGATAGACCTAAGGAAGAACTTCCTGGCAGAGGGGTTTGTTAAACACAGGGGGCTCTGGGATCCCTAACTCTGGTGTTAGGAGCTTTGCACCCACAGACCACCTTGCAACCGCGACATGCAGGTAGCTAGGGCAAAGAGCTAGACTCCTCTGAATTTCCAACCGTGGAACTCCCCTAGTAGACAGGGATAGTTCCATGGGGCCTTCTGTGTTTTCCATTGCTGATGTCCCCGGGCCATCCTATTAGCCCCCAGACACAAGCGATGCCAGACATAAGCAATGCTGTGCTTCCTGCCTGCAGCCACCCCCTTAGGGTTCAATCACAATCTCAGATCAGCCACCCCAAGTGAAGCACACACAGCACGGGCGTTGTCTGGTCTTAGACAAAACTGCTGGTGGATTTGATTTCCAAATAGCCGGCTTTGATCTCTTTCAGTTCCCCTGCCCCGCCCCCACGCCCAAGATTCCTTTGCCCATAGAACTTGAAAAGGGAGAAATGAGCAAGGATATTTGGTTTCTCCTAGATCTGTCTGCTATGCTTGGTGCCAGACCTCTGACCCTGACTGATTTTCCCAATGGAGTAAACAGCCCTGGCATCACGGGTATGGTCCCTCTGGCAGGTGTCCAGGCCAGCGAGGAATTTGGACAGGGAACGCTTTTGTCATTTGCAACCTGGTTTGCCCTGGACCAGAGGGCTGACCAAGAATGAGGTGCCAGGTGTGTATAGGGGGGATTTAAGTGGCTCTCCTGAAGTGGCCCTTAGAGCCAGATCTGCTGGGAGAGATGTTCTGAGGGCATCGTGGGTCTAGCTTATGGGGGGGGGGGGGCAGGTAGTTTCAGACAGCACCTTGACCTCAGAGGTACCTCAACTCCTCAGTAGGCTTTGCTGCAGAAGTGTGGTGTGGGGGTCTAGAGATGTCTGTGGGAGGCCTGGAAACCACTAAGGCAGCATGCAAAATGGGTGCATATTTTGAGTCCATATTGGCATTCGATTCTCAAAGGGCATGAACCACAGAAGCTTAAGAAGCTATCAGGGCAATGGCAAAGCGCATGTCCTGGGACATGCACTCTTGTTTCCCCCAAACACATCGTATCTCAGAATACCAACTCCCAGAGGGCAGCGACCAATCTTCCCAAGTCATGCCTTACCGGCAAGCGGGAGCTTAATGCATGTTTTGTTTTTAAAGATGATACACCTTTGTCCAGGGAAGGAAGAGAACAGTTAGTTTTTGCAGACTTCATCACAGGGAAAGGAACTGCCAGGGAATGCTTCTTTCCCACTGAAAGCCCTGGAGAACCTGGGATAAATCCTTGGTTGTGGACAAGCAACCACCCTTTGGGCCTGGGGAACCCGACAGGCTTGGCCTGGGTTCAAATCCCGGCTCTGGCGTTTACTCCCTAGGACCTGGGTGCTCTCAGTGGGGTCCCCATCAGCATCAGCAGCATGCCCCCCCCCTCAGAGCTTGTTAAAAATGCAGAAGCGACTGAGCCAGAATCTGCATTTGAGCCAGATCTCCCCGGGGGGGTTCTTACACAGGTTAAGGTTTGAGGAGCATTGATCTGGGACCCTGGACAAGTCATAACTAACTCTGCCTCGGTTTTCCTCACCTATAAAACGGTGATAATGCCCACTCTGAAAGGTCATTGTGATAACTAAGAGAGATAACGTATGGCATGCATTTAGCACAGTGCCAGGTACGGCAGGGGTGTTCCCGCGTTCACCTCCTCGGGTTCTCTGCCTCTGGGAGTGGTCCCTTTACGCGCTCAGAAACCTCTCCATTGCAGTGCTGAGGTCGGGCAGTAGAGGGCAGTCTCGACATTGCCATCGCGGAGTACGCGGTTCCCCCCGGGGCCGCGGGGGCCTCGTGGGTCCTCCGGAGGCCGGGAGGTGGGCGCAGGTGTGCCGCAGCTCGGCTCCTGGGCGGGGGCGGTTCGCCCAGGGCTCCCCTGCCAGGGCTGAGTGTCCTGGGCTGGCGCCTGCAGCCTCGATCATCTAGTCCCCATCCGATCTCGCACTGCTAGTTCTGAACAAATTGCCCGGCTTCTCCAAACCTCGGTGCGCGCGCGGTCCCCAGGCCGGCGGGGAGGCGCCTCGCGCAGAGCCGCTAGACGTTGATGAAGGATCCCTGGTCGCCGTTGGCCGTCTCCGGCTCCACGCAGCGCCCCTTCCTCCGTGTGACCCTGCGGTTCCGGTGGAATTTGGCATAGCAGCGCAGCCCTGAGCGAAGAGAGTGAAGGGGGTCAGGGGGGCCCACCGCCAGGGCCTGCCCCTTCCTTCCCGGCATCGCATCCTCTGGGACCCCCGCCCCCACCGCCCCGCACACTTTCACCTCCCCTTCTTTGTGCTGCCCTAAAACCCACCCACTCAACACACGGCAGCCCGAGTGGGCTTAGAAAAGACAATGGGCGGGGGGTGGGGGGGGGGGAGGAAGGATGCAGAGACGGAGCACAGGGGCTGTTCGGGGCCGTGAAGCTGTTCTGTGATACTGGAATGGTGGACACATGATGCATTTATCAAAACCCGTGGAATGCTCAATGCCGAGAGTGAACCGAATGCAAACCATGGGCTTTATCAAGACAGTTCTTCAATTGTAAAGAGCATACCACACTAATGCAAGATAACAGGGGAAACCATGCAGGGAGGTGGGGGGAGAGGGCACAGGAGAACTGTATTTTCTGTGCAAGTTTTCTGTAATCCCAAAGCTGCTAAAAAAGATGGTCTATTAAAAAATGTGTAAAGGGATGCAGATTCTGCCCTCCCCTATAAACCTCCTGTGGCTCCCCCTGGTACTCAAATAGAAATCCAAACTTCCCACTCTGGCTTACAAGACCACCTGGGACCTGGACCCGCCTCCCGTCTGCCCTCTTCACTTCCCACTCTCCTCTTCACCAACTCCAGCCACACTCAGTCTTCTTGCTTTTCCTCAACACCCAGTCCTGCTCTGCCCCAGGGCCTTTGCACTTGCTTTTCTCTTAGCCAGAATCCCTTTCCCAAGCTCTCTGCATCCCTGGCTCCTTCACAGCCTTCACGTCTCAGAGACCCTCCCTGACCACCCAAATTAAAGTCAGTGTGGCCCTTCTGGCCCACCAGTGGGAGGGTTTCTTAGCTGAAGCTCTCTCTGTCATGGCCACCAGCATCTACTGGGATACACGGCAGGTAGATGTATTTTTCATTTAAGGCCTCAGAAGGCCACATCCTCCTGGTGGTGGGAGGTGGAAAGAGATGTGAGTGTGGCCTGAGCAATCCCACCACTTCAGGTTAGGAGTGACCTCAGGGAGAGAGGACATTGCTACTTTAAGATTCACTTATGTCACCATCCAGAGAATAAAGGAGCAAGCTGCTGGGTAGAGTTTGTGCTTAGTGGCCTAGAATTTACACCTGGGTCACTGGGCTTCCAGACCTGTGGCCACACAAGTGACACTTGGAAAGGGGAGGGGATTCATGAGCAGGAGTACTAGGTTCCCACAGAAGCCCCTTCAGAACCCTCCAGAACCCAGGCTGGCCCTGACTGCTGGACTTAAGCCCTGGGCCCCGTGTTCAGCATTTCAGGATCTCTCAGAGGCCCTCAGGACTCTTGGTCCTCAGGAGGGTTCCTGGCCACCGCCTAGATCCCTCTGGTGTGGCATCTTGGTGACAGCCGCCTCCTGGACCATCTTTAATGAGCTGCCTGAGTTGTCACTTCTGTTCTTTTTTTTTCTGGAGCCTGAGTCTCCCAGGAGGAAGCAAGCGTTCCTTCCAGGACCGACCAGTGCCAGAGGGATGAGAGGAAAGGAGCAGATGGGGCTTTGGATGCCGACATATCTTCCGGATGCCTGGAAAGCTGCCCCCTCCCGCCTGAAGTCCAGGGGTGGAAAGAAGGAAGGATTCCTGGACGGTGGGGCCACCCCCTGAGCACCCGGCCAGGCACCAACCAGGCAGGTGCAGCTCAGCAGGGCCGCATCCCCCCCACCTGGGCGCTCGGGGTTGGACCTGGAGGCCAAGGATTGAGATCGGACCTCAGAAGTGTTCTGGCCAACCTGGACTGGAGTGCCCTCCTGCCGGCTCCATACCTCAGCCTCCTGCTCTGTGAAATGGGTCCCCAACCCTGCCTACACGTAACAGAAGGCAGTTTCCCTGCACCCTCCCCACCCTGCCTTCTCCTCACCTCCCTGTCGGTCCTGTCTATCTCCACTCCTGTCCCTCAGCATCCTGCAGCAGGGACCATGTCACTCTCCCACCTAACACCTGCCTACGACTTCCAATTCTAACTCAAACAAGGCTGACAACGTCCCGTGCGATCCTCCCCGCTAGCTTCTCCCACCCGGCCCTTGGGCCACCTTCTCTGTTGGCCACTGTATGCCGGGCCCACTCAAACACACCAGCCTTGTTCCTGCCCACGGTCCTCGCCTTTGGCCTGCTTCTTGCCTGGGGGTCTCTCTCCTGCTTCTTGCCTGGGGCTCTCTCTCCGTCCCCACACCCTCCATCTTCCGGAGGCTGGTCCCCACTGTCCCCTCCAGTCTGTCCTTCCTAAAACAAATCTGATCCTCATCAGACCACCTGGATTATTTTCTTTACAGCCCTTATTACTTTCTAAAGACACCTTATCTCTTTATTTGCTTCGTATCCGCTCATCCCATTAGAATGGAATCCATGGGTGCCCTTTGCCGGTTCTCTTCGCCGCTGAATCTCGAGTGTCCAGAACGGTACCTGACACTCAATAAATATTTCTTGACTTGGGGATGCCTGGGTGGCTCAGTCCGTTGGGCGTACGGCTCTTGATCTCGACTCAGGTCATGATCTCACAGTTTGTGAGATCGAGCCCTGCGCTGGGCTCTGCACTGACAGTGTGGAGCCTGCTTGGGATTCTCTCTCTTCCCCCCTCTCGCTCTGCCCCTCCCCTGCTTGTTCTCTTTCTCTTCCAAAGCAAACAAACAAAATATTTCTTGACTGACTAGACCCGTGTAGCTGTATTGCTTTCACCGCAGATAATTTTTGAGGCTAATCTGGGTAAAAACAGGGCTTGTATCTCAGGATGGTCCGTAGAGGGACTGAGACCAAATTCTCCCACTCAGAACACGTGAACACTGATTAGCTAGTGAATGGTACCGAGCAACTATTGTTCACATTTGGTATTTTATCTTTAAAAGCGTACTTCTCTTTTAGAGAGATATACTGAACTAATCACAGGTGAAATATCTGTAAACTCCCAAGAGTTGCTTCAAAATCATACTGGGAACTGAGTTCAGGGGAGAAGTGGCACAGATGGGCAGTGAGTCTGTAAATCCTGATGCAGAATGATGGGAAATCACTCTGGGGGGCTAGTGGTTGTAATAATGATTTCTAACACGTATGTTTGAAATGTTTCAGAATACAAAATTAAAAGCATTCCCCTACTTTTCTGGCTGTGTGAGTTCGGGCAAGTCACTTAACCTCTCTGTGCCTCGGTTTGCTTATGTGCGGAAGGGGGATCATAATAGCTCCCTTTCCCGGGACGCTTGTGCGGATTATGGGAGATGGCGTGAGTGAAGTTCTCGGCACAAGAGCCCGGCACAGCGGGGCGCACCTGGGCAGGTGGGAGCTCAGAAGAGTTAAGGACGTAGCTGGCCAAGTGCATCCTCCCCTGGGACAGTGCTGGGAAATCCACCCCACCCCTTGTTATCACACTTGGAAGGCCTCCCCAGGGATAGAATTCTGGTATGAAAGTACCAGCCTTCTCAGATGTGATCTTATTTAAAGAGATGCACGCCTCTCCTCCCTTCTCCCACCTCCAGATCACAGGAGATCATGCCAGCTTGTATTTCAAGAGGTGAGAAAAGCACATCTGAGAACCGATGCCAGGAATCAAGACTAAATGAGTTCACAGATTGGGAAGGCACCGAGCAAAGCTGTTCTTGCTCATGTTTTCAGCTCCCAAGGCCCTCTTCCACCCTCTCCTTGGCCGCAGGCCTCTCTGCCCACCCTCTTCAGAGCCCAGGGGACCCCCGCCCCCCAGGAGTGCGGGCTCACCTTCCATACACATGCAATCATCAAAGCATTTGTTGTTGAGGCCGCGGTTGTGGGGCGTGCAGAGATGTTCCCGAAGGTCACAGCAGCTCCCTGCTCACACAGCAAGTGCGCGGTCAGCCACGCTTCCCCGGACCCTCCCACCGCCGAGCCCGCCGTCCCACTAGACAGGAGATCCATCATCTCCGTGGCAGGGCCGTGGCCCGGCAGGGTGGGCCATCTGGTGCGCAAGGCTCCCTACTGGGACCACCTATGGATGCCATGGCCGAGGCCCCCCAGGGGCGGGTGACAGAGACCCCAGCTGCCCCAGATGGGCAATTGATAGAGCACGGGCAGAGCGAAGGCGGTGTGGGATGGCCTCCCAGGGACAGGGGGCAGAGCAGCTGGGGGGGGGGTGTGGAGCTGGGAGGGGCTTCAGGGACCATTGCTGCCAAGGTCCACTTTGACAGATGGGAAAACTGAAGCCCCTCCCCCCCGCCGCCTGCCTCGGGGGAGCAGCAGGGGGGTGGGGGGGTGGGGGGGCCAAGGTAGACCCGAGACAGGGCTTTGCCCACCACACACCGAGCCAGCTGTTAGGAAGACTGTCCAGCTGACCCCAAATCAAGCCTTTTCTTTGCACTCAGGGTGAAAACTATGTGTTGCAGAGGAAACGGCCTGTCCGGGAGCTGGTGGTCTAAACACTGGGGATGACAGGGTCCCTTTCCCTGGGTTGCTATGAGGAGCAAATAAAGTACAACAGCGCCACTCAGGAAAGAGGTAGCTCAGGTTTTTGTTATTTCTCTCCCTTTTAGGGCCACGGACCCACAGGCCCTGCTCACGTGCCTGGGAACGTCCCCACACCCGTGCAGCCTCCCCTCCACCACCCCAACCCTGACCCTGCACCCAGCCGTGTGCCCTGGAGGCGGATGCTGGCTCCGTACCTGGCAGGCAGTCTTGATGATGGTCGCACGGCTCACCCTCAGCCGGTGACGTTCCGTTACCATCGCTGGAGAGTTTAGCCCAGTGTTTCTCTGGCAACGAGAAGTTCCGCTGTCAGAAGCTGACGCCAAGCAGAGCAGAGAGACTCGGCACGGGGGTGCCGGGGACTGGGTGCTCACACTGCCCCCTGTACGGTGTGGCGTGGACAGGACTGTCTACCTCGCTCTCTCTGCCTTCGTCTTCTCCTCTCTAAAATGGGCTCAACAGCAGGATGGACCTAACAGTTTTGTTTTGTTTTGTTTTGTTTTGTTTTTTCGGGTAAAATGAGCTGGTAGAGGAAAACGTTTGCCGTGTGATCGGCACCTGGGAACAGCCTTTGCCTTGTGGATGTCAGTGCCAATTTAGACGCCACGCCCTCCCACTCTGGACACCTGTAGGTCAGGCTGGGCTCACTGGGGCCCCCACCGTGACAGACAGTGAGGGGGGTGAGGGAGAACCCAGGAGTGGGGGTGGAGGGCTGGGCGGACGTACCTTTCTTCTTTGCAGAGGGCCAGACCTCAGGTTTCAAGTCTTCATAATCGGTCCAGTCGAACAAGGCCATGTCCAGTGTGGGCATCACCTCCCCATCAGGCCTGGGCTGAGCCTGCAGGAGGGACATGGAGAGGAGGGAGCCTGGAGCTCCCAACAGGTGCGAGTCGAAACATGGGACCCCAGAACCAGGGGGTTAAGGAAGGGCTCCTTAAGAGGCCAGCTCGTCCTCTGCTGGGCAGCCTGGAATCCCAGCCCTGGGGACACGGGGACAGCTGCCTAAGCAGTTCTCTCACTCTGCAGCCACCACCCCAGTGGGATGGTATTAATGCAGACAGGTGAGTTATCCGCCAGGCCCCTGAGGGAGGGACTGGGAAGGCATTCGTGCCTGCTCAGGGTTTCTACACCTATGCAGCCGGGGAGTTGGGTGAAGCCCAGCCACTCGCTTTCCTGTCCCTTCTCTCCTCTGACAAGTCATTGGCTCTGTAGCACCGCGAGGCTGCCGCTCAGTTCACCTCGCAGCCAGCGGTCTCGGGGCTGGATCAGTGCACAAGGACGTGTTGGTACGTGTGAAAATTTTTCCCCGAGGTCCCTGCTCTTTTCCATGTGGACCCGGTGTGCTGAGCTGGCACCTGCTCTCTTGCCTGTCCCTGGAGTGAACCCTAGGACCACTTTGTCTCGGACAGTAGCAGCGCTTTTAGCACAGAGCGTCTGCCGGGCTGCAGCTGAGTTGGACAGGCATCAGGAGACCTGGTCTGCCTCTAGCCCCGGTGGCCTCATCCCGCTCCCTCCCACCCCTGTGCCTCAGTCTCCCTAAATATACGATGAGGCTCTTCTGGGGCCCCTTACCTGGGGCCACAGGGATGTGACAGGCAGGACCAGGGACTCTTCTGTGGCAGGTGCTGCCTCAAAGGTGGTTAGGTAGAGGATGGTGGGGGCCAGGCTGGTGGAGGATTCCTCCATCGTGGCATCCGGTGCCTGGTCTTCGGACGGCTCTGCCTTCTTCATCAGGGAGCTAGGACCTCGGACCAAGGCTCGGCCTGAGACACGGAGTGGGAAACACAGGAGCTTTATCTGCTCACCACCCTGTGTCAACCCACAGCACAACTCACATTTCCATCTGCAAACAAGGAGGCAGCAGGGACTATGTGACAAGCCATGGGCTCAGCCAACACTCCTGTTGCCCACCTTCCTGGGGAGGTGGAAACGAGGGACTGGGGTGGTGGGGAGAGAGGAGGGAGGTCTTGAATGAACTTGCAGTGTTGCCGCCAGGAGGCAGCCCAAGGATGCGCTCTCTAAAGCAGCATTCTGGCCAGTTCAAGTCAGGTTAGCGGATACAGCCGGGGCCGTAAGTGCAACAAGTGGGAACTGGTGGGATTGACCACAGAAGGCTTCCCGGAAGAGGTGAGGTGTGACTAGGAGAGGCTGAGAGGCACTGCAATGGGGAGAGGTCTTTGAGATGGTGAGATCCACAGTTTGTCACGTACAAGCAAGGGCTTCCTATGTGGTGATAACCATCGCCCTGTTATATGCTGGGTCCTTCCTTACAAGCATTATTTCATCTAACCACACGGTAGGAACTCTTAGGAGATGGGTGCTCCTTCAGGCTTCATCTCTGGGGGGGGTGGTGTGGACACGGAAGCACAGAGAGGTTAGGCAACTTGCCTCAGGACACACAGCTAGGGGACAGCAGAGCCTGCATTCAAACACAGGTCCATCTGACCACGAGGCCGATGCTTTTGGCCACAGATGCCACCCCCCAAGACCCGTGGGCATTGGGGTAAGTTGAGTGTGAGGGGACAGTGTGCAGGATTGGAGGTGGTCAGGAACAAAGGGGCTCTGAGAGAAGCTGGAGGCCCCGGGCTCACCCTTGCCTCTTTTTTCTTGGGCAAGATCTGACTTTGATTGGGTCAGTCGGGGCCACCCCACCCTCCGGAAACAAACCCCAGAGAGTAGAAAGGGGACTTAGGGACCATTGAATTCACTCCATTCATTTTACAGACAAGGCAACTGGGGCCCAGTCAGCCAGAGCTCCCCAGCAGGTCGGCAGTACTGGGCCTGGCCTCTAGCACTGTCCCCTCCTCCACTCACCCGCCACACCGACTCTCTTGGGGTGGGGGATGGGGGCCCTTGGTCCGATGGAGCTGGGGCCTGGAGTTGAGCCAGGATGAGTTCATGCCTTGTGAGTCCTTGAGGATGCCAGCCTCCCCCACCCAACCTGACCGTGACCTCCAAGGGGGTGGGAGGCTGAGTCTAAGCGGGGATCTCTCGACTGTGTTCTGTCCACTCGGGGGGTTTCAGGAGGCCTAGCAAGGAAGACCCCAGCGGTTGCAGGAGGTGGGGGTGCCCAGCCTCCATCACGCTCCTCTTGGAGAACAACTGCCCCACATTTGTGGCACTTGGTCGGCCCCTGGTGGCCTTGGGGCCAGGTCAGGCAGGAGGAGCTGCCTGGGCCCAGCTGTTGGGACATGTTTGTTCAGGGACTGAGTGGGCAAAGGAGGTGGCGGCCGGGGCCAGGGGGCGGCTAGGCCCTCACGGGGATTTGGGGATGTGGGAGAAACTTAAAGAAGGTGACCAGGGCCGCGGGAGAGCACCCCAAGAGACAAACAGGACAGAGGCAGGAGGGATAAGGACGCCACGTCTCTCCCTGGGTCATCCGTGTCCGGGTCAGGGGACGGTGACTCCACACTGAGAGCAAGTTGAGAATTAGCTAGTAACAGCTACTGCTCACGGCACGTGATGCTTGTCAGGTGCCATTCTAAGCATCTAAGTCCTCTATGAGCCCACACGGAGGGTAGATGGAGCCCTCATCCTCGTTTTGCAAAAGGGGACACCGAGGCACAGAAAGGGGACTTGTCCCGGGCACGCAGCTAGTAAGCGGCAGAGCCACAGCCGAACTGGGGCAGACCTAGCTTCAGAGTCTGAGCTCTCAGTCCCCGCTCTGGGATTCAGAGTTGAGTAAGTGTTGATTAAGTCCCCTGGTTGGGGACCGAACTAGTCCATCTCTACTCCGGGCTTATAGTAGGGTAGATTTCGGTCAGACACAAGGCAGAGCTTCCTGACTTAGGAGGATCATTCCCACGTTCCACCACCAAGGCTCTCCCAGCTCCCTCCTCTTACCAGATCACTCGGACTTTTGAGAGACCCCCTCCCCTCCTCTGGGGGTCCACTGCCTGCCCTCTATGGAGCCTCTGGATATCCTCCCCGGCTTCTCACACCATCGACACTTCTTCACTTCCCTTGTGCCCGCCCCCACCCCCCTCTTGGAGTCCCCTTGGCCATTGGGGTATGCCCTTCCCTCATCCCCCCACCCCTCCTTTTCATGGCAGGACCCCACCCCCTCGCAGACCTCCGGCTACCTCTGTGCAGTTTCAACCTTTCCCTGCGTCTCTTGAACTCCCTGCCACGTTTCTTGACCCTCTCTGACCCGGGAGACCGGTTCTCCTTCTCCGGGTAGGGCAGTGCCAGCCCCAGGAGCGGGCCCTTGTCCTCCAGTAGGCCTGCAGGACTCTGCCCGGGCAGCGGCTCCCCTGCCCCTGGCAGCCTGGAGGCCTGCCTGGTGGTGGTGACCACAGCCCCATCCTGAGCCCGGCCGGGCATGCCTGGGCCCCGCTCCTTCTTGCCCAGGCCCCGCCGGCGGTGGTGGCTGGCCTGAGGCATCCACAGTGCTGGGCCCTGGAGGTCGATGTGATTCTCAGGAAGGTTCCGAGCCGGGGTTCCAGGTCCCAGGGAGCCTGCCAGGCTCAGCTCCGAGAGCACCAGGAGGGCGAGGAACAGCATGGGGACAACGTGGGTGCTGGGCCCGGCCATGAGCTCTGGTCTGTAAGAAAAGCAGCACCATGAGCAGACAGCTCAACAGCCCTCCTCGTCTTCTGCTCCCCCACTTCTGCAAATCCCCTCACCCACATCATCATAGCCCGGTGTCTCTCAGCACGGATGGAGGGGGACTTGGCCCCCAGGGGACATTTGGCAATGTCCGGAGACATTTTTGGTTGTCATAGCGGGGCAGTGCTGCCCCTTCTGGGGTCAGGGATGCCGCTAAACACCCTACAGCTAGCACAGGATGGCCCACGAAGGAGGCTTGCCGGCCCAGGAAGACCACAGCGCCGAGGCTGGGAAGTCCTGGTTTGATTGGCTTTAGCAGCATCCAGGTTCCAGAATAGTCTAGAATTCTCTTTGCACAGACCTCTGCCCTTTGCCAAGTCCCCCGGAATGAGCTGCATCCTTCCAAGCTCAGAAACAGGCCTGTCCTGCCCGAGGCTTGACTCAAAGCCCAACTCCGAACAAACAGAACAGCCTCTTTGAGCGCGTGCCACGGGCAGGAATTGGGTTCAGAGCTTTGCGGGAACTCATATCACTTTGTCCTTTCAACAAGCCTCTGAAGTGGCTCCTAGCGTTTTCTGGAACAGCCACTAAGGCCCAGAGAGGTTAAGCCACACTAGTAAGTCTCATACATGTAATTGCTACGTCTGTGCTCTGCACCTCCCTCGTGGCTGTCCCAAGACTGCTCTGTCCCTGTCTTTGCTCTTTGCTTTTCCTCTAAGGGGCTGGGAGGTTCTGACACAGCCCTGTCTCTGCCGGCGCTGAGCAACTTGGGAAGAAGCTTGGCTCTGACCCCTGCAGGGTGGGGTGAACTGACCCTGACCTACCCTCAGGATAACCCTTCATTGCCCACCAGAAGTGGGGCCTCCTGAGAGCACACACTGCTCCCCCCGCCGCCCCCC